ATGTAGAACAATGATTTTGTGTAGTTTGTTAGACCAGCTGAGCTTGATCTCATCTGCTACCACCGTCCTGAGCCCACAGGTCCAACAACTCACTCCATCAGGGTGGTTGATTGTGCCTAAAAAATTATCATAACTTTACCCCTGTTAGTTCTGTTATGTGGACATTATTACAACACAAATACACACATAGAGATATCATCTGCCAACCTGATATATGGTCTTGGGTATGTTCTCTTTTGCCTAGACATACCTGATCATTCAACCTGTCTACCCATATATGTATTTACCTGTAGATTAATGTTTCTTATCACCGATAACGCAGTACTGTTTACGTAAAAGTGTTTCTCTTTGTTTTCTGCACCTCTTGTACATCTCTCTGTGTCTTCCTTTTCTTTAGTATTATTGTGTTGGTCACTTACTTTTGGTGTATTGCCTTCCCTTCACCCAAATCAATACTTTCTCTACTTATCTATCTGTGTTCCCTCCCTTCCCCTCTCCTCCCTTCTCTGGTATCCAGCCAAGAAAGTTTCCTTCCATATATAAACCTTCCATTGATTTTTTTACAATAGTGAACTAACACTGTATTTTTCCTTCTGTGGTTAACTTTTTTCACTTAGTGTAATGTTCTCCAAGTTCATCCACATTATGCAGTGTTTCACAGTTTCAATATTCTTTAGTGTTGCACAGTATTCGATTGTGTGTATGTACCATGGTTTGGTCATCCATTCTTCTGTTGATGAACATTGGAGTTGTTTCCATCTCTTTACTATTGTGAATAGTGCTGCAATGAACATGGGTGTGTATATACTATTCATGTCCTGCCTCTCTGTTCTTAAGAGATATTCCCAGTAATGGAATTGCTGGATCAAATGGCATTTCCAACTTTTTAAGGAATCTCCATACTGATGCCCACAGTGGTTGTATCATTTTACAGTCTCACCAGCAGTGTATGAGAGTCCTAGTCTCTCCACATCCTCACTAGCATTTATTATATTTTGTGTGGTTGAACTATGCTATTAGTGCTAGGATGAGATGTTATCTCATTGTCATTTTGATTTACATCCCTTTAATGGCTAGTTAATGATCATGGACATTTCTTCACGTGTTTGTGGCCCACTGAATATCTTCTTTGGTGAAGTATCTGTCCATGTCCTGTGTCCATTTGTTATTTGGGTGGTTTGTCTTTTTGATGTTGAGGAATTTTCTATAAATTTTAGAGATAAGTGCCTTGTCAGACATGTCATGGCTGAATATTTTTTCCCAATCTCTACATTCTCTTTTTGCTCCTTTGAAGACGCCTTTTGATGCACATAAAAATTTAAGTTTTAGAAGGTCCCAATCATCTACTTTATCTTCTTTTGTTTGTGCACTTTGTGTCATGCTTGATAGTCTATTT